AAAAAAAAAAAAAACTCAGGGGAAGGGAGAGAAAAAAAAAAAAAAACCCTAGGGCAGCAATATGTGTACATAGAGCTCAGTCATGAGTACTTTGTTGTCTTCAGACTCACCTCATCATCAAACTCATTATCATTTGGGACCAGTCGAAAGTCTCCAAGCTCCTCTTCTTCACCTTCTTCTTCCCTAAAATGCAAATCAGCCAATCAAGAAATAAGTTGTGGCTGGCTTGGTGCCTATAGCTCAGCAGCTGGGGTGCCAGCCACATACACCGGAGCTGGTGGGCTCGAATCCAGCCTGGGCCTACAAAACCACAACTACAACCAAAAAATAGCTGGGCTGTAGTCCCAGCTTCTTGGGGGGCTGAGGCAAGAGAACTGCTGAAGCCCAAGAGTTTGAGGTTGCTGTGAGCTATGATGCCATGGTACCCTACCCAGGGCGACAGCTTGAGACTCTGTCTCAAATAAAAAAAAGAAAGAAAGAAGTTGTAAGCCTTGTATGGTGGCTCACACTTGCAATCCCAGCACTCTGGGAGACTGAGGTGGGAGGAGCTCAGGAGTTCAAGACCAGCCTAAGCAAGACTAAGACTCTGTCTCTACTAAAAATAGAAAAATTAGTCAGGAGTGACAGTGAGCACCTGTAGTTCCAGCTATTCAGGAGGCTGAGGCAGGAGGATTACTGAGCCCAGGAGTTTGAGGTTGTTGTGAGCTATGATGACACCACAGCACTGTAGTCTAGAGCAACAGAGTGAGACTCAAAAAATACATATGTATATTATATATACGCACACATATATAATATACACAAATAATATATAATACACACACACATATACACAAGTATAAGTTGTTGACAGGAAACTACAAGTAGTAGTCAGCCAGCCAGGGTAAGAATTTTGTTTTTGGCTTGGCACCTGTAGCTCAGCAGCTGGGGTGTAAGCCACAAACACCAGAGCTGGTGGGTTCAAACTTGGCCTGGGCCTACCAAACAATGACAATTACAAAAAAAAAAGTAGCTGGGCATTGTGGTGGGTGCCTGTAGTGCTAGCTACCTGGAAGGTTGGGGCAAGAGAATCCCCTAAGCCCAAGAGTTGGAGGTTGCTGTGAGCTGTGATGCCACAGCTCTCTACTGAGGGTGACATGAGACTCTGTCTCAAAAAAAAAAAAAAAAAGAAAGAAACAACTAAGTTTTCCATTTCTTGCTCAGGCTGGTTTGAACTCCCATCCTCAAGTGATCCTTCTGCTTCAGCCTCCGAAAGTGCTAGGACTACAGGGGTGAACCACTGTGCCCAGCAAAAATTTAAAATATTTTATTAGCACCAATGATCTCTTCAAGAAACAGAAAACAAGATATCTTGCCTTTTAAAAAATTTTTTCAACTGTGGTAAGATAACTATACACCACGTTTTGTTTGTCTATTTCTCTGTCAATGGACACTAAGGTTGCATTCACATTTTTTTTTCAGTCTACCCTGGGGAGGAGTGCCATGGCATCATAACTCACAACAACCTCAAACTCTTGGGCTCAAATGATCCTATTGCCTCAGCCTCCCAGAGTGCTGGGATCACAGGCGTGAGCCACTGTGCCCAGACTTTTCACATTTTGACTATTGTGAATAATGCTGCTTTGAACATGGGTGTACAAATATCTGTTCAGACCCACGCTTTTACTTCTTTGGAGTATATAAAAGACATGGAATTGTTGGATCATGTGGTAATCATGGTTTTAATTTTTGAGAAGTCATTCTAGGCTCTCCCCTAGCGGCACCATCATTTTACATTCTCACCAACAGTACACATTTCTCCACATTCTAATATTTGTTATTTTTGTTTCTTTTTTCTTTCTTTTTTTTTTTTTTTAGACAGTCTCACTCTGTGGCCCTTGCTAAAGTGCTCTGGTTTCATAGCACATAGCAACCTCAGATTCCTAGGCTCAAGCAATCCGCTTGCCTCAGCCTCCCGACTAGCTGGGACTACAGGTACTGTCACAACGCCCAGCTAGTTTTTGTAGTTTTAAAAGAGATGGGATCTCACTCTTGCTCAGGCTGGTCTCGAACTCCTGAGCTCAAGGGATCCTCCCACCTCAGCCTCCCAAAGTGCTGGGATTACAGGCATGCGCACCACACCTGGTTTATTTTGTTTTTCTAATAGTAGTCATTCTAATGGGCCAGGCAGTATCTCACTGTTTGTTTTTTTTTTAAGAGACAGAGTCTGACTTTATTGCCCTTGGTAGAGTGCTATGGCATCACAGCTCACAGCAACCTCCAACTCCTGAGCTTAGGCCATTCTCTTGCCTCAGCCTCCCAAGTAGCTAGAACTACAGGCACCCACCACAACGCCTAGCCATTTTTTTTGTTGCAGTTTGGCTGGGGCCAGGTTTGAACCCGCCACCCTCGGTATATGGGGCCGGCACCCTACTCACTGAGCCACAGGTGCCGCCCTACCTCACTGTTGTTTTGATTTGCATTTCCCTAATTGTTACTGATGTTAAGCATTTTGCATGTGCGTATTCTTGCCTTTTCTTACCCTGTTCTCCACAAAAGTATTGCTATGCAAATATAAGACTCAAACCCACTGCAAGAATCTCAGATATGAAGCCCCTAAGATGATCAGTTATTGCTAAGTGCAGAGAACATAATTCTAGGATTTCATTTTTATTTATTTATTTTTTGAGACAGAGTCTATGTCGCCCTTGGTAGAGTACTGTGGCATCATCGTTCACAGCAACCTCAAACTCTTGGGCTTAAGTGATTCTCTTGCCTCAGACTCCCGAGTAGCTGGAACTACAGACACCCGCTACAACACCCAGCTATTTTTGGGTTGCAGTGGTCATTGTTTAGCAGGCCTCGGCTGGGCTCGAAACTCCACCTTCGGTGTATGTGGCCAACACCCTACTCACTGAGCTAGGGGCACTGAGCCAATTCCAGGATTTTATTAAAGGGCCAAGCTTTCCTGAGTTTCCACCAATCTCTGAGACTCACCTGTCTGTTGGAAAAGAGCCGGAGCAAAGCGCGAGCGCTTCTTCCATTGGATCACTTATGCTGCTCTCCTTCTCCTGCTTGCTTAACTCTGATGGAGCCAGGGTGGAGGCACCTACATCACAACAAGGAAAAGATCTGTCACCAAGGAATGACAGTTTTATCCTTTTTCCACAGCCTTGTCAAGACATGACAGCTCAAACAGTTCTAAGGTAAGCTTGTCAAAAAGAGCTCACCATCCATTTACTCAAGAAATCCCTTACATAGTGCTGACTGTGTGCCGAGCACCAGGGACACAGTGGTGGACAAAATATAGATTCCAACTCTCACAGAACTTACATTCTAGCAGGTGTGTGTGTCGGGGTGGGGGTGGAGGGAAAGAGAAATAAGTTAACATTTCTGTGAAATTAACTATACGCCAGACACTGTTCTAAGCTTTGTACATAGATTAATCACACGGCCAAAGTGAAAGCAGTCTTAAGTTGGCACTTTAACACTCTTAGAAAGGAATAGCTCTTAGTAAGAACTAAGCAGTAAATTCAACTGATATGCAAAATTCCACCACAGCCCAGTTTGCTATCAACTCTTCACCCTCAGGGGAAAAGGGGCTTCTCTTCAAGGACCCTGATATTTGGCCTGGTAAGCCTAATGCTCTCTGCTGGGCATTTACCCTGAGAAGTGAATTTTCCTGAACAAAGATTCAGAAGTTCCTCCATGTTCTCTTTCTTGTCACTCTTCATGGGTAGACATTTTTCGTCCTGAGATGTAAACTTCCCAGTGCACAGATCCAACAGCTCATCCATGTTGGCATCCATGGCATTCTCGTCCATGCTGGCCAATGGCAGTCGAGGCTTCAAAGTGTGGTACTGATCCCTGTGGTTTCCAACATTTAAGAACCTAAGAGTACAATGAACAATGTAAGAAATTCTCCAGAGGCAGCAAAGTATGGGTGAAAAACTGGACTCATTTCCAACACCAGTTAAAAGCTGACTCTCAAACCAGAAAGCAAAAGGTTCAAACTTTAAGGCTCATGATCATCTAAAAAGGGAAAACTTTTGTGAAGGAATAAAATGCTATTCAAAAGGTAAAGTGTAATGGATAATTTTTAGCTTCAGATGATGCTAGAATAGGGCTTAGCATTATGTCCTATAATATGCTGCTGGTTTGTAAATTCTCAAACCCTGAATATGGGGAAATTTGTTGTTGTTTTCTTTCTTTTTTTTCTTCTTCTTTTTGAGATAGTCTCATTATGTCGCCTTCAGTAGAGTACGTGGCATCAAAGCAACCTCCAACTCTTGGGCTTAAGCAATTCTCTTGCCTCAGCCTCCCAAGCAGCTGGGACTACAGGCACCTGCCACAACTCCCGGCTATTTTTTGGTTGCAGTTGTCATTGTTGTCCAGTTGGCCTGGGCCAAGTTTTGAACCCACCAGCTGCGGTGTACATGGCTGGCGCTGTAACCACTATGCTACGGTTGCCAAGCCTTTTTTTTTCCTTTTGATATAGGGTCTTTTTAAAAAATTACTATTAAATCATAGCTGTGTACATTAATGCGTTTATGGGGTACAATGTGCTGGTTTTATATACAATTTGAAATACTTACAACAAACTGGTTAACATAGCCTTCACCATACTTCCTTAATTGTTATGTTAAGACATTTATATTCTATACTTAGTAAATTTGACATATACCCTTGAGATAGGGTCTTGTTCTGTTGCCCAGTCTAGAATGCAGTGGCACACTCATAGCTCACTGCAGCCTGAATTTCTAGGCTCAAGTGATCCTCCCATTTTAGCCTCCTGAGTAGTTAGACTACCATGCCCAGCTAATTTTTGCTATTTTGTTTAGAAACAGGGTCTCACTATGTTGCCCAGGCTGGTCTTCAACTCTTGACCTCAAGAGATCCTCCCATCTTAGCCTCCCAAAAGATTACAGGAGTGAGCCTGCACCCTATTGGACAGCGGGAAATTTGACGATAACATAGTACAAGATCTGTGCATTTAAATAAGACAGAGATTAAAGGATCACAACATCAGCAAGAGTTATTTATGTTTTATTTTCTGGACAGACTTTGTTCAAACTTGTAGAATGTAATACTAATGGTCTGTACACCTTCTCTTTCTCAGAAGAGAAAGCACAGATGGAGTGACAGAAGCTCACTTTATTTTTAAACAAAATTAAGCAGTACCCAGCACCATTCCCACCCACAGAAACACAAAACTACCTACCCATCTGCATCCAACAGTTGGCTCTGAGTGTCATCTTCTAAACAGAACTGGAAGTCTCCTGCTCCCAGGAAAAGTGTCTTAGGCTCTGGGGAGGCGTTATAAAGATCCTGGGAATCCTCTATGGGAAGTGAAGGCTCAGACAGTTTCCCTGAACTCTGGCACCAAAACAAAAACAAACAATAACAAAACATTTTACAAATGTCGTTCACTGTCATGACAACAACAGAAGTTGCCATCTCCAACATTTAATCTACTCTTTGGCAATGCAGTTGAGGACAATGCATAGCCAAGAGAAGCATAAAGAAAAATAACCTCCAAGAAAGAAGAACACTGGATAAAGCTTGTTTTTAATACACAAAGGGGGTGGATTTTTAAAACTGAACACATATAAGCTCAGTACCAATGTGGTGGGAGTCAGTGACTGGGACACACTTTATTTAGCAATGTGGGAAGCAAAAAGAGGAGGAGATTAGAAAAACCATTACCATCTTACCTTAGAAGCTGAGCTGACCAAACTGGCTCGAAATAGCCCTGGGGAAGGAGATCTGAATCCTCCTGCTGTAGGGAAAAAACTGGTCCCACGGCCTGTTTGTCTGTTGCAAGGCTGGTAGGATGGGATTGTGGAGCCAATCAGCTCAAAGCTGCTATTGTGGCTGCTCTCCTTTGTTAGCAATGAACATGAATCATCTTCATCTAAAGGGAGAGAAACACCTTTTAAGTGTATGATTACAGAAATAAGGTGGATTTGTTTAGGAAAAAAAGAGTTGAGGATGAAACTGTCAGATAAAATCCACAGGTTATATGTTCCAAAATGTTAAGTTCAAGGTAAATCACAGGACTAAGATAGCATTATTTAATCAGGGCCTGTTACTCTGAGCTAAGTGACACTTGAAAGTTCTTTTCTTTCTCTTACCCTGCCTAATGCCTATGATCATTTTTTTCATTATCCCAAACAGCCTTTCTTGCTCTACAGAGAGAAATATTTCATGGTTCATTCAATTATACGTACTTTCTAACACACACATACTATTATAGTATATGACCATGGCCTACTATAAAGAAACTGCATGGAAGTCTTAATCAAAAGGACCAAGAAAAATATTCTAATTCATAAACCCCTTCTACTGCCACATGTAAGACTAGGAAAAGTCACCAGATTTACAAAACAGAATCTTACGGAATTGTAGTCCTGAAATATTAAAGTTGGAGGACAAAGAAATGTCAAGTTCTGCACAGGAGTCACTACTTACCCAGTTTGCTAGGCTGTTTGCCTGAGTTTTCATCTGTGTCTGACTTTTCTTCAGTAGGAAAGTAACTACGAAATAAGAAGGCAAATTGTTTCAGTACCTGTTCCTGCTTTTTACTAGAGGGGCAAATCCAAGGAACTTTGTATTTCGTTAGAGAAAATTACTTACCCCGTCTTGGAAGAACTGTCCTTAAACAGAAGTAGGGTGGAATCTGACGAGAGAGTCTTGGGAACAGAGAGAAAGCCAACTGACTTGCCAGTCTCACTACTGCCATCAGTATTTTCTTTATCCATTTCTTTTTCATCTTTGGTTTCTATTTCTTCACTACTAAGAAGAAATTCTACAACCTTTACCAATGACGCCACCAAAAAACAAATAATACAGGTCAAGAAATTTAAAAGCAAATACATCATTAGCCTGAAATATGACAAGCACAGTTTAAATCTGATATGGTAAAACTTGAAGGAAGCTCTGCATGATTATTATCACCAACACAATTTCCCTGCTACTTCTAAGCTCTTTTATACTTTTTTTGCTTTGAGACAGAGCCAAAGCTATTGCCCTGGGTAGAGTGCCATGACATCACAGCTCACAGCAACCTCAAACTCTTGGGCTTAAGCTATTCTCTTGCCTCAGCCTCCCTAGTAGCTGGGACTACAAGCGCCCACCACAATGCCTAGCTATTTTTTGGTTGTAGCAAACTTAGCCATTGCTTTCTACCTCCTTTATCGAAGGTTAAATATTAACCAACTCTTTCAAATGACCCTAGCAACAAAAAGGAAAACTCTGTAATACCTAACAATCATATCATCACCTGTCTTCCCAAGAAGAAAGCAATACTATGTAGAAAAAGGGCCACAGGCCCTTCAACATACACCCTCTTTTAGAAAGAATGTAATTAACTCAGGAAGGTCTCTGCCTTTCTGAGAGTTTACTCCACACCTCAATCTGGCTAAGGTCAAGGTTGCTTTTTGTTTTTCAGACCACCAGGAGAGTGAGTTAAGATTGCTTTTTAACCCAAATAAACAACAAAGACAAAATTCCCTATTAGTACAAAATTCCCTATTGAAAAGCCGTTTTCAATATTAGCATTGTATTAAGATATATAAACTAACAGAAAAAGCCAAGGCTCTGGGCTTTGTTAACTACAGGAGTTGAATTGTACTGTCAGAACTGAATGCTCTAAGTTTTAGGCACAGATGAGGTAGCTACCTTCATCCATGGCCCCTAAAATCTCTTATGTAATTGAATGTGTTTATTACATTCATATTCAAATCTGATTTTCTCTTTCTCTTATTTACCATGGCCAAGGAACAAAATTATATAATTGTCACAAACCTCCTGATTGCCTTCATCTTCTTCCTCTTCTTTCTCCTCTTCTTCCAGTTCTTCCTCCTCCTCTTCTCCATCTTCCTCAGATTCGTCAGTCATTTCTTCCTCTTCCTCCTCCTCTTCCTCAAACCCATCTTCATTGTCTAATTTAAACAGAGCTTGGCGCTTCTGGCGTTCCTCAAACCTTCGGAGTTTCATTGCTTCTTGCAGTTTAGCTTTTAGCACTTGAAGCTTTTCACCTGAACAGAAATATGTAAACACGCTTTAGACATAATGACTAACTACAGAATTACGTACTATGAGTATCCCTTAAATTCATATCCCCCTAGAAGTAAGATAAGAGTGGTGTAAAAAATAATAATTAAGGGCTCAGCGCTGTAGCTCAGTGGCTGGGGCGCCAGCCACGTACACTGGAGCTGGTGGGTTCGAATCCAGCCCTGGCCTGCCAAACAACAATGACAACTACAACCAAAAATAGCTGGGCATTGTGGTGGGCACCTATACTCCCAGCTACTTGGGGAGGCTGAGGCAAGAGAACTGCTTAAGTCCAAGAATTTGAGATCCCTCTGAGCTGTGATGCCACAGCACTCTACTGAGGGCAACATGGTGAGACTCTATCTCAAAAATAATAATAATAGGCTCGGCGCCTGTGGCTCAAGTGGCTAAGGCCCCAGCCACATACACCTAAGGTGGAGGGTTCGAATCCAGCCCAGGCCTGCTAAACAACAATGACAGCTGCAATCAAAAAATAGCTGAGCGTTGTGGCTGAAGCCTGTGGTCCCAGCTACTTGGGAGGCTGAGGCAGGAGACTCGCTTGAGCCCAGGAGTTGGAGGTTGCTGTGAGCTGTGATGCCACAGCACTTTAC